TGGGGGGGACACGAGAAGCTGGGAGGGAACACAGCCAGGACAGCTGACCCCAACTGGCCAAAGGGATATTCCATACCACATGACATCATGCTCAGTATATAAACTAGAGGGAAGCTGGCCAGGGGCTGCTGCTCGAGAGCTGTCTGGGCATCAGTCAGCGGATGGTGAGCAATTGCATTGTGCATCACTTATTCTATGTGTTCTTTTATAAATTTTTAATTATTATTATTATCGCTTCCTTTTGTGTCCTATTAAACTGTCCTTGTCTCAACCCACGAATTTTACTTTTTTTTCCGAATTGTCTCCCCATCCAAGTGGGGGAGGGAGTGAGCAAACGGCTGTGTGGTGTTGAGCTGCCTGCCAGGTTAAACCACAACAAGGAGAGACTGCTGACAGGGAAGAGTTCCTTATGAGCAAAAACACAGACCTGCCCTTAAATTATTAAAGAGCTTTTAAAAAAAACACACTGTGGAGAACGAGGGAGCTGAGAAAGCACGAGCTGCCCTTTTCTGTAGGCACAGGGGTCTGGCGGGGAGCTGCTGATGGTCAGGCACAGGAGTCCTCTCCCAGCAGGGCCTTCAGCGGTGGCCCTTTGCCTCCACAAGCTTGCTGGACGTTTCTGGCCATCCCAGTCCCCCGGAGGACGCTGTCCCACCACCTGGGGTGAGCTCTGTGGGTCTCTTTCAACCCAGGGAGACAGACCTCAACCACTGCCCGGGCAAGGATTTGGGTCCTGCCTAGTGTCCATGCATCGAGTGTCTTGCAGTTTTGCAGGGTGTTGTTTCCCCTTCGCATTTTTTTTTTCCATGCCTGGGTATGTGCTAGGGCCTTGCTGGTGTCATTCCTGAGGAACAGACAGTTTGGTGTTGGTCTTGAGATTCCATGGCCTGCTGAGCAGGAGCAATGGGACAGAGCTAGGTGGCCATGTGGAGGCAAAGGAGGAGTAACCAGCAGTGAAGAGACATCTTCTGGCTTACAGGTGTCTCCTGGTGAGGAGGCAGAATTTACGTGAAGGAGCTAATGGTGAGAAGGACTGTATTAAGCTTCTGTACCATCGGGTCGACCCCAGTAGGCGTTGTGATCTGTGTAACGCCACCAGTGCTGCCAGTCTGCCAGGGAAGTGTCAAGGCTGATTAAAGTTTGCAAAACTCTTCTAATAGCAATCCTATGTCGGAAAAAAGAAGATCATCCCGTATGGCTTTCCAGTTTCTTGGCATTCATTACTTTTGTCTCACTGTTCTTTATATAATAACACTTAGGTGCTGCTTATCTTAAGTCCCCTATAAAATATTTAATGTAGTTTACTGTAAAGTCTGCAGGCTGAGGACTGTTCCTTACAGAGTATTTGTGCTGCACCTAGCACTAATTTCAATTGCAGCCTCCAGGCAGTATTGTAAGGATCCATTATGACCATCAAGAACTGTCCCTGTCCTGTCACTTTTCAAGGAAGATCCATTCTTGACTACAGCTTTAACATAGCTGGTGTTGAAATAATGATTTTTTTTTTTCCATCTGAAATGATCGAACCAGTCTCCAAGCAAATAATTTTTTTAACTCGAACTTTTAATTAATGTTGTCCGTTTTGAACAGTCCTCGATCCACTGTATTTAACCAGCTCAGAAAGCATGTTGATTATGAGAATGTTTGAGGTTTTTAAAAAAAAACAAAAAACAAAAAACCAAAAGGCAGTTGGGGTCTATTTTGCATGAGAAAATATTTTGTTTAGGAATGACAGTTGTAGGCATTCTCTCATACATTGTAATATTTTCCATGTGTGGCAGCTTGTTTTTCAGTGCTACAAATATGTGCAATAAGGGCTAAGGATAAAAATTAATCTAACAGCTTTTGCAGCGATGCTTTTGATGGTTTCACTCAATTTCATTTTCCTGTGGATACTGCCGTTAGTTCTGCTGCTTGCAATATGTGAAGCATAATTCTCAAAGGTTCACGAGGTTGTAGGGATCCAGTAAGAGATGACTGATTTCTCCCCCCACACACATACACTCCACCCCACACCCACTCACCCACCCACCAGCAAAACATAACGCTGTACTATTTTTGGTAACAGGGAAAGGGCCTCCCTGTGAAAACAGAAAGCAGTGTATTTCTCAGTTACATCACTTTGCAATCTAATGCTGTGTTGTGCTCAGTGTTTTTGTGGTGATGCAAGTCTTTTTTTTTTCCCTTTTTTTTTTTTTTTTTTTTTTTTTTTTCCCTTCAGCCGGTTGGATTTTCCCCATCTTACAGCACCTCGCAGGTCTCTTCTCTGAGCAGTACGTTGCCTGAGTGAGTGGAAACATACAGATCAGCTGCAGGTTTCTGTCTACAAAAACAGAGTGAAAGAGAAAGAAAAGGGTTGGGAAAGCAGAGACAAATATTGACCTGGACTTATAGAAAGACATCCAATGGCTGAATAAAGAACCCCTGTTCATGTTTTGGGATATTCTTTCAACTGGCTGGAACGAGAGCGGATCAAAAGAATGGGAAATGCCAGCAGACCCTTTAGAAGAATTGCTTATTTCTTATGCCTTTTATCTGTGCTTTTGCTGACTGAAGGGAAGAAACCAGTGAAGCCAAAATGTCCTGCCTGGTGTACTTGTACCAAAGATAATGCTTTATGTGAAAATGCCAGATCTATTCCTCGCAGCGTTCCGCCTGATGTTATCTCACTGTAAGGGCTGTAAGCATTTGGTTATTTAATTTATGATTTAAAATGAAGTAGGATGTGTGGTGTTTTCAGTGCATACAGAAGGATGCTTGCTGCAGGGAGTACCTCCAGCATTCAGAATCATCAGCTAATGTGTTAAAATTGTGCTGCATCCTTGAATCCTGATTTTTACATCTCTTTCATCTGTCTGTCTGTCTGTGTATGTGCACACATACCATTTTATACCTTCTTCTATACTACATGAAACCTGTAACATTCATTTTTTTGTTCTTTTTTTTTTTTACTTACATAAATAAATTTCTCTGTGATGACCAGATCACTATTATAACCATGGATATATGAGACTACATTAATATAAGGTTGTTTTTTTCTTCTTTCCAGATCCTTTGTGAGATCTGCTTTTACTAAAATCCCAGAAGGGAGTTTTTTGCTCACACCATCTCTGCAGCTTCTGTGAGAAATATTTATATGATACAATTTTTGTTATGAAATGTACATGTATCCATAAATATTTTAGAAAGGGTCTCAGTATGAATTTTGTAAGAAAAAGCAGGAGAAGATTCATTAGATGACAAAATACGAGACTTTTTAGCAATTTGAAAGATAGTGCATGTTTAATTTTTTTTAAAGTGTATCTACTTAGTATTTTGCAAGGCAATCTGTTGTCAGTGCTACTTTGAATGATTACATGCTGAAGCTTTTGGTGACAGAACGTGTGCTATCTTCATTATATTTTAATTAACATTACAGTAGGGACTTGGGCATTGCAACAACTATTTGTGTGTCTTTTCTGCAGTCCTGGGGCCTGATCCCACTATAAAGCTGCTCATTTGCAACTCCCATCGACTGTGGGCTCAGAACCCCTCAGATCAGGCCCTTCATTGCAGTGGGACATGTCCTGAAGTCCCTCTCCATATAAAATTGCCATTGACTTCTGGGGAAGTTTAGTCACTTTGGTGGGAGTTTTGCCTTCATCGCACCTGGATGTGACCCTATTTGTTATTTCATGTCTCTGAAAAAAACCTGCAAAAGTAAGGAAGACATTCTTTCAACTGAGAAATTTAAGCAGTTATTTCAGAATTAAATAATGCAATGACATATATGCAGGAAGATAATATTTTGGGATGTTTAAATATTAGAAGCATTTCTATATAGGATTTTCACAGGCTTACAGGGTTTCCTAGAAATGTGGGCATACGATTACATAATTGCGAGCTATAGAGAGGTAGAGGGGGTGTAACCTGCACTGTTCGTAGCGTATGTGCTGCCAGCCTGACACACACCCAGGTTTGTCTTAGAAATCCGGCAAGACAGACTCCCCGATGTAATCAAAATCAAAAGTCTGTCCCAGACCGACTTCCCGTGCACGCTAGATGTGGTCAGAGGTGTAAAGCTGATGTTTTGGAGCCCTACGGCTGTCAGATCACACTGCTGGTGTACCCACAGCTGAAGCCCTGACCCTAGCCGTACTCTGCTACCTCAAGTGGAGCTGATAAGGAGGTGCAGACGTACTGTACGATTTTGGATACAGGGTAAATAGGTAAATGCAGTTACTATGGAAACCTAAATGCTTTTCCATGGTGCTTTATTCCTGAGAAGCTTTTCCCAGGTGGTCACAGATCACAAAAGGGACACATTTCACGTAATTCCTGCAATGGGCCTTTCAAAGGAAAGGAAAAAAGAAATAGCAGCATTGGTGGAGCTTGTATCTGAAGAGAGTGTGTAGGACATCATCTCTCTTGGCTACGATACACCACCTACACTTAGCAATCCTACTGCCAGGAGAGGCAGAACTGGGTAGGGTGGAGTAGGACAGACACAGTCTTTTTATTCTGAGTTATTACAGTGGGGTCTGTGTCTCTGGCAATAGCTATTGGCATTTTAGTAATGGTAACAATTTGCGTGATCTGCTGTATACTCCACTGAAATGCACGTTCCCAGCTGCTGCTGATCAATGCTGCAACAAAAGCTCCGACCCCAGAAAAGCAGGGTTTTTTCCGTTATAGGCTTCAGTGAGAGATCTGTTGAAATGGTGCAAACAATCCACAGATTATTTACTTCTGCTACCTAGCATTTCTAAAAATACTGCTGAACACTTTTCCAGATATATTTCTGACATGGTAGCTGAGCTGCTTGCCATCTTTGGAAAGTCAGGCTGCTGATCTAAGGCAAATGACTCCTTAAACACCGACCGTAGAAGCAGGATTGTATCTGCGGGGCCAGTACGGCAGTTTTTAAGAGGGAAAGAAAAAATTCCACTTTGGCAGAAGATATCAAGGGAAATAAGAATATGGAAAACCCAGGTTAATTAAAAATTAAAGTAAGTTTTAGCTTGGCATGATTGTAGCTGTATTGTTAGGTTTAATTTAGCCAATAGCAAGATTTAGCAACCTATACCTATTTTTACATAATAGTCTCCGGCATTACATTTTTAGAGTCTAAATGTAACTTGGTATCTGCAGTATGCCAGTCACACATTTCTAAGTGTGGAATATATTTGCCTCTATTATTATTTACTACTATTTTTACTGTAGTAGCGGCAGTGGTCTCTGGAGGAGTCATGGTCTCGTTGTGCTAAACACTACTCTGACAGCCCAGCCCAGGAGAGTTTTTCTTCTTGAACAGTACGGATGATATGCTCTGGGCTGTTCATGTAACAACAAAAACACGAGGACCTACACAGCTATGGCGAAGTGCCAGCAGGAGTGTGCCTAAATGTCGAGAAAATCCCCTGCTCTCATCTCCAGCACTTGTAACTCTCAGTGTCAGTCACGTGCTGAGGGTGCCCTTATAAACTGATGACATGAAAGCCCTTAGAAAAAAGGGAGGGAGGTAATCATGGTTCCAGGATCCGAACCTGCTAGCAGCGTACAGTTCCTGCTAAGCAATATAGTCCCGAGCCACAGTGCAGGATCTTCAGCCTCTGTCCCCACAAGTAGCTGGCTGGTGGGCCACAGATCAAGCAAATCTGGTGTCTGAGGTCAGGGAGTGGGAGAAAAGCCACTTTGTGCATCAAATACACATGATCCCGCCTTTGGGGGAGGTACGAGATGGGAGGCAAATGAGCTCACCAAGTGCAAGACCTATGCCATAAGCCTGGCAATCTCTAGAACAGCTAAACTATTTAAAGAGATACCACCCTGTTCTTTAAATTACAAGGAGGGTAGATTGCAGAAAAGGAAAAATTATCCAGTGAAATCACATCAGAAAAGTAAAATTAGTTGCGGGCAGCAGATTTACTGTATTGGTCTTCTGGTTCAGAGATTTTACAAAAATACTTATTTCCTCTAAGGAAGAGAAGTTTTCATTGTTTCTAACAAAAAGTTAGAATTTCCTGCTTATATTTTTCATACATACGTTGGAGCATATTTAAAGTGGAAGAAGCACAGTCTGCAATAGCCAAGTGAGAAAATAACTGTAATTTGTTTGCAATGCAAACTTCAGAATCAGAGATTAACTCATTAAGTGTATTAATTCACACTTGGAAATCCTGAATTCCTGAATGCCTAAGGATGTCATAGAGTAGATCTATTTATCCATCAGGTCCAACTGAATAAAATACAGATGTACATCTAGTACTCCACTGGGGTAAAGTTCATTGTACTTGACAATTCCTCACCATATTAAGGGTGTGGCAGTCCAGAGATGAATTAAAATGGACAAATGCAAACACAGCTGATAAGCATAAATAAAGCTGGAAAAATCAGTGCTAGTCCACTTTTAACGCTTATAGAGTAACCTAAAAATAAATATGTTGCTGGAATTTTTACTGCTAGATGGATGAAAAATACATGCACACACTAATAGCTGTCTCCAGCAGGTATAATGTGGTCTTAAAAATAGTTCTGATTTGAACATTGACTAAATGAAGAGATTTTCTATTCTTTTCTCAGTAACTTCTCAGTAACCTCAGGTCAAATATGCTCACAAGTTTAACAAGATTTTCCTGCCTGTCAGTGGTGCAAATTCAACCTGATGTCTGGCTAACCAGCTGGATACTTTGCCTATGTTGTCATCAAAAGTAAGTGTTCTTCAGCACAATTCAGACCTCTGTAGTACTTGAACATTTCATTGTAGTCCAACTATGTCTCCAGTGGCGCTTGTACAATCCCATTGTTTTACTGGCATGAGAAACCCACGTATGCATCCCACAGAAGTCAATGGAATTTTATCAGATGGCCCTAGAAGGCAAAGAAGCAAGTTGTTGGGTCCTTCCCTTTGCACCAGACTATGGTGCAGTCTATCAATCAGCTTTATGATCCTGTAGTGCTTGCACAGACAAAAAACATGAAACCAGTGTAAAAGTTTGGCCTACTATGGTTTGCTGAACCCTTTTCTAAAGATGCTAATAACCTAATGGTCTTTCGTTTTGCATCTCTTTACGTAGGTTGTTTACATCCAACACTTTTGATGTTATTAGTGATGATGCTTTCATGGGCCTTCCTCATCTAGAATACTTGTGAGTGGACAAAAGTCTATTTCCTGGCATTATTGAATAGAGGGGGTGGGCTTCCAAGTTCCAGGCATTGCTTTGACCAGAATGACTTTACGACCCATTACAGGTTCATAGAGAACAACAGCATTAAGTCAATTTCAAGAAATACTTTCAGAGGACTGAAATCTTTAATTCACCTGTAAGTAAAGTGGTTGAATATATTGCTTGCTATATTTAATATAGTAACTGAACCACTGTGTTGTTGAATTTCACATTTTGATATATAGCTGTTCACATTTGTTTAGGCAGTACTAGTAATAGTTTAATTAGAATGTCAATCTTTGTGTTTCCACCAAAGACTTCCAAACTGTGGTATCTGTAGAAGGCTGGGACACAAACAGTTTCCAAGCAGAACATGTTTGGCAGTAGCTCCCTGAATTCCTCTGCTCAGAGCACTGGGGATTTCCAGCTGAGCTTGTAGGAGCAGGGAAGGAGAAAGCTGGATGGCTCAGGAAGCTTGGCACTGACACACTGACAAGGTGAGTCCCAGTTTGGGACTTGGAGAGGAGGAAGGTGGGAGCTGTGGTCAGCACAGAGGTGCCACAGTGGTGAGAGGCTGAGGGGTGGACACACACTTCTTCCCAAGTACCCCAGTCTGGTGTGGATCCGGGAGAATATTGTGGCTGTTCCTGAGACCAGCCAACACTGCACCCGTGTCCATTTCAGCCAGTACCTGAAGCCAGCAGAATTTGACCAAATCAAATTTGAAAATTCCCACCCTCATCAATTTTAAATAGAAGAGTTGTGACAAGATGCACTTAGTGACTTTCCGATCTGCTTCTTCCACTTAACTGCAGGGCATGGCAGCCTGTAGACTGCAGCAGGATGGGTTTCGACGCCCTGCATTGCACCCTGTCCTCTCCTGCACGCGAGCCAGAGCATCCCACGGCCGCGATCTGTCACGCACTGACACTGTGGTCTGCTTAACACTCCTCGTGTTGCTGCTCAGCCCTTCGGCTGTCCTGGACATACAGCCAGACCCTTGCCCTCTGACATGCTGCAGCCCCCTCGCTGCGTTAGCCGAGGAGGCAAACGGGGCAAGGGCACTCTGGATGCTAACGGGGCTGCTAGGAGCAACGCTTCCCATGCTCACACCAGCCGAGGCACTGCTCACGCTGCGCTCAGCAGGTGAAACGCACGCTGGCAGCAAGTACCTGTAACGTTGCACTGCAAACACGAGAGTAGCATCCTCCTGCTCTGAGCTAGCAAGACAGCTTTTACACAGGCTTTGTCTCGTCTTACATCAGGTTTATCTTTTGGCATTAATTTTATTTTAGCAAGTGATGAATGTACTGAAAATACAATATGTACTGTAAGAAAACATAAAAAAATACAAAAACACTGTAAGAGAAGGAGGTTAAAACATGGGGGGTGTGCCTGACATGGGTTTGTACCCAGCTCTGAGCATTTGCATTCTGAAGCATATATCTTGCAGTGTGTGTCATAGGCAGGGGAGTGGATTCTGACCTTTGGCCTTAACATAATAACCCCCAAGAGGGTTTTGAAACAGGGTCATTTGACTTTTACTTTCGTATATTTTGGCACAGGAAAGCAAAGGTTTCATTTTACATCGTTAATGCATAAATATAATAGCTGAATTGGAATTCACCGCATCCTTCACCACACAGTAAACGTACCATAAAACACCTTGCTCTTCCCGTTTTGGTCAGAACAGACAAGACTCAGAGCTGGCTGAAGCCGAGCCTGCTGTGACTAGTTGTGTATGTAAAGTTACGTACAGAAAGGCCCTCAGTCTGAGGAAGAGCAAGGAGGGAGGAGAGGGAAAAAGGTATATAAACAGGCTGTGCCGCATCCCATAAAAATTCGTATCAGAGGTACAGTCATAATTATAGTATTGTTAAAAAAGGCAGATAATTGGATAAGGCTGGTAACTGGGACCCTATCTTCAAAATATTTATGCACATGAATAGCTTTATATTCACCAATGGGCCCAGTACATTATTTATCATATTCATTTACTTATTTAGTAGCTGTTGCTGCCAGTGAGCAAATTGCTTTTCTGACGGAGAGAGAGGAAGGCACAGTTTCTTCTCCTCAGAGCATACAGTCCAAGAGTAACATCTTGTCTTCCCTGTCATGGTGGTTTCTGGGGACGCTTCAGCAGTTTCGTAAGAGAAAACATATGCAAAAGAAAGAACCACATTTGAGGAGCCTCTGTGGTTACATGCACATTTTTGGGACACAGATTTGTGCATCATGCTGCTATTGCACATGGAGTGCTATTCATCAAGACAATAAGAAATTTGCAGAAAATAACTGCAAAGGCGGGTCCATTAACCACAGGATGTGACTAGTTTAATCTGCGTACAGAACCACTCCCCACCTTTTGGGGCAAACTGCACATACATGTGAAGAATAACCTTTTGGCACCCTGAGGCATTTCTCATTTAAGAAACAGGAGAGTACTAGTGTACATAAAATATATTTAAAAGGATTTTAGTAAATAAGGATACAAATTAGTTCCATGAAGTTAGAGAAGATGAACTTTGTTCTATTTATTCTGTTCGCTTCCTTTTCACAACATAACTTTTGCAATGCAGTAAGCTATCCAAACATTTGTATTTTTAAAATGCAATTAACTGAGAATTGCAGCATGGCCTTACTGTAAAATAGAGCCCTCTAGTACTTATCGTTATGCAACACAATGCATGTTGTGCTTGGAGCAGATTTAGGAAAGGAAAATTAAAGAATAATACCACTTTTTTCACTAAGTTACTAATTTCATGTTAAAATCTTACTGTTAGGATTGGAAAACAATTTCTATTCACCATATATTATTTCTATTGCATTTCTTGCAGAACTGTGACCATAAATTTAACTGCATGTTTGAGTCAACCTTTGCTCTCTTATTATAAACCAAATGCCATGTACAGCACCACCTAGACAAGCCAGTGTTAGAGTTCTAAGATATAAGTATGCTTTTAACAGTGGAATATAAAATGCATGATTTTCATCCAAAAATTGGCAAACGCGTTAACCTTGCGTGAATTTTTCTGTCAGTCACCTTCCCACAGCAGCAGTGAACCACTGGTACTTCCAAGCACATCACCCCTTTCAGTTTGCTACAATCCAGGTTGTAAAGAATATATAGGGCATTAAACCTGCCTCTGCTTGCAAGTCTACTTAGCTTTCTCCATATGATTTACCTGACTTTTAAAGATTTGCCCTGGAGTGTAAAATTAAGTGTAAGCAAGCATATGATCCGTACACCAAACAGTGTATATATACACCATCAGATGTACTTGGAAGTGGTGAAGTCAGAACGACTAATGGCATCATCCCTTATTTAATATTCCTGATAAGGCAAACACTTATTTTAAATGAGGCAGTAGACATAGGGCCTGTTCTTGAATTTAAGTGAATGCCTAAGTGGCTTTGCTTGGCTAGAGAAATTGTAGTTAAAAAATAACTCTTGTGTTTACAAGTGAAAACAGAAGAGTTTCCAAGTCCTACCAGCTAGATTCTAACTGGGATCCTAAACTAGAATGATAATCTTCTCATTTTCATTTCTTTTCAGAAGTAGTAAATAATTTTGTTAATCAGAAGAGGCGTAAGTTATACCCTACACCATTATTCATGTCCTGTCATGCCCTCAGTGACATGTCAGAGAACCCAGACCTTTGGTGGACTCACACAGACGTGTCTGGCAGAAATGTAATATATTGCTTGTTCAAAGCCTGCCTCCATTGCCTTCTCACTTTTGCTAGCGAGAACACTCACTGAATTTAAGGGAGCTTTCCCAACATTAAAAATCGGGAGTTAATGGCAGTTTTTTGGTGGTCTCACACGTACATGCTCACACACACACACACATTCCAGGAAACAAACTGATGCCGATCAGCGATTTCTTCTCTATGACTGTGTATTTCCAAAAACTATGAGCTAAGCCTGAGTGCAGCAGAATAAACCTCAGTGTTAAGATTTTGCTTCCAGAAGAGGTACAAGAAAGTGGGGAAATTGCAGTAATATGAACACCATGTATTGGTATCTCATAAGGAAAACATCAGTAGATCCAATTGTGACTAATTGTTTTAAAATAATGGTGTTGGCAAAACACCAGAGGGGATGGCACTTTTTACCCTGCTGAGTGGGGTGCTGTAAATGCTGCAAGGCTGCTGGAGAGTCAGAGAGCAGAAGGAGGCATGGCATTTTAGTGGGAGACAGAGTCACAAAGTAAATGAGCTATGGTTAAAAGCAATCTTTTAGAACTAAGGGCAGGAGAATACCAGGGTTCTTTACCTTCAGCGAAAAACGACCCACCACTATTACACCTTGCAAAAATGTCTGATTTCATGAACCAGCACTGATACTGAAGTGTCTTCTTTTACAGGAGTCTCGCAAATAATAACCTACAGTCGCTTCCAAAAGACATATTCAAAGGCTTGGATTCTTTAACAAATGTGTAAGAAAGCAATTAATTAATCTATTAATTATACTAAAAATATAAAGAGATGATTTTAGAGGACATGCTCAGTAAGCATTCAAACCGATTCACGGTAAAGGGCTCTTATTGCTGGGTAGACACTACCCAATATGCGTAGGCTTGCTTTTTGTCTACTGTGATTGATCATTTGCTTTATTTTTGAATATTCCACCAGTTATGAAGATAAGTAATATTGTCAGTAGTTATATAAGAGCGTTCCTTGCATGTTCATTAAGTGAATAAGACGGAAGTCTCCTTAGGGATGCATGAGAGAGCATGGCATGAGGGGAGGGTGGAAGTTATTTGATGGAGTAACATTCTATGTGCAAATAATTTCTGGGAGGGCCATTTTTTATTACAAAAGCATGCGTTAGTAAGTACCGTATCCCGTACTAAATCTAAGTGCAACTGAACCAAAACATGAACTTGTTTAAATATATAACTAAAATACCAGTAAACATACAAAATACAGATAAACAGATAAATCCTATAGTTGCTTCACTGAAATACATCCTGGTTACAACACACCAAATTCTGGGATAATGAGCACAGAACATCCTTTCCGTGCTCCCTGCATTTGCAAGGTAGGCCGAATTCAGAGCGTAGGGCTGCAGCAGCACGTTGTGGGGATGGTCAGATCTGGTATCAGCACTTGGCATGGCTGATCATGGCCAGGTGGTTACACAGTCTGGTCCTGGCACTCGCCTGTTCCTGTACATACGATCTGAAAACTGACTGACGACAGCTGTAAAAGACTTAAAACAGAATTCTGTTGCTTGTGCCTCCTAAAGCCCCAAATTGGTCTATCTAAAGGAGACAGCAAATACTGACTGGCTGATCAGTTTCATGGGCTTTTGTGTACCTGTGCATCTGGGGGAAAAAAAAAATCCTACTGATTATCAGGTTAAGTTCTCCTTGATTTTCTTAATAGAATGAAATCCGTGTGGGTTCTGGTATGTAGATTTAACTATGGGTCAGGACAAATTCAGCCAGGAAGGCATCAACTGAGAATAAGCAAGAGAGCAGATACTTAACAAGAGCCCAATTTGTTCTTGTCCTGCAAGGAGGAATACATCCGCTGACTGCTTATTTTCAATGCATGATTTATTTGCTGTAGGGATCTTAGAGGCAATGCATTTAACTGTGACTGCAAACTGAAGTGGTTAGTGGAATGGCTGGGCAGCACCAATGCAACAGTTGAAGACATTTACTGTGAAAGCCCACCAGAATATAAGAAGCGCAAAATCAATAGCCTCTCTCCAAAAGAATTTGATTGCATTATTACAGGTAATGTTCATCAAATTATTTAATCTGGTTAAATTAAAGTCAAAGATATATACTTTTTTTATTCTAGGGTCCATTTTTGCAGGAAGTCTGCATACTGGATGGAACTTCCACTAAAATCAATATGAATGCTGTGCAGGTATAAGTCTGACATGCAGATCACTTGGGAGTGGGGTCTTATGCTGCAGCTTCTACTCAGACATTCATATGCTGTATAAGGATTTGGAGAACTGGGACATAAAACAGCACCTCTTTTAATTGAGAAAGACTGAAAACCAAGTTGCAGTGCTCCGTTAACAACAGGAACGTCGCACTAGTGATGAAATACTGTAATTTGGAATAAATTGGTATCGGTTAAGCACATGTTTTTTCAGTACAGTGTGGAAAATATCTCTGTAACTGTCTTATGTTGTGTGCACTTTTGCAGAATTTGAAGTTTACCAATCCCTGCCGTACCAATCTCTGTCAGTAGATACTTTCTCATACATGAATGACGAACATGTGGTTATTGCTCAGCCTTTTACTGGAAAATGCATCTTTCTTGAATGGGACCACGTAGAAGTGATGTTCAGGAATTACGACAACATTACAGGTATGAACACTGATTGACAAAAAACATTACAACAGCTGATCCAAACAGTGGTGCTAACCCTGTCTTTCACTTTTGTTTTTATAGGTACTTCAACTGTTGTGTGTAAACCCTTAGTTATTGAGAGTCAGCTGTATGTCATTGTCGCGCAGCTCTTTGGAGGCTCCCACATATATAAAAGGGATATTTTTGCTAATAAGTTTATAAAAATTCAAGATATTGAAATCCTAAAAATCCGAAAACCCAATGACATTGAAACTTTCAGGATTGCTGAAGACTGGTATTTTGTTGTTGCAGACAGTTCAAAAGCTGGTTTCACCACGGTTTACAAATGGAATGGGAATGGATTTTATTCCCATCAGTCTCTGCACGCCTGGTACAGAGATACTGATGTGGAGTATCTTGAAATTTCCGGCAAACCACACTTAATTCTTTCAAGTAGTTCCCAAAGACCTGTAATATATCAGTGGAACAAAGGAACAAATGAATTTGTTAAGCGTTTTGATATCCAAGATATGGAAGATGCATATGCAGTGAAACATTTCAAAGTGAAAGAGGATGTATACATTTGCTTAACAAGATTTATTGGGGACTCTAAAGTAATGAAATGGGGTGGTTCAGCATTTCTGGATTTACAAAGGATGCCATCCCGAGGGTCAATGGTATTCCAACCGCTTCAGATAAGTAATTATCAATATGCCATTCTTGGAAGTGATTATTCTTTCACTCAAGTCTATTATTGGGATGCTGAAAAGGCAAAATTTGTGAAGTTTCAAGAATTAAACGTACAGGCACCAAGATCTTTCATACATGTCTCCATCGATAAACGAGATTTTCTCTTTGCTTCAAGTTTTAAGGGAACTACATTGATTTATAAACATGTCATAGTAGACTTAAGCGCATGACACTCATAATTCTGAGATTACATCAGACTTTCTACCGTAAGTGGACAAAATGAACTAAATGCATGATGACTCTCTTATCTTACTTCCAAATGAATGCCTTTAAAAGTTGAGATTGCTAGAACAAAGTATTACTAGTATCTTCATCTTTAATTGTCAAGTCTAGTGGTGTTGGAAGTTGCATTTTTTAACAAAAAAGAAATTAAATTAACTGTTCTTTGCATCCACAGTATGTAAATACGTGTGCAACTGCATCTGTTGCTATAAAGAATATTAAGATGTACTTTTCCATTTATTTATTCACCTGTTTGAAACAACTGCCAAATAAAATGTTTACATTTTGTGTCTTTCACATTCCAAATATTATTTGCAGGTGATACTTTTTATTTGTGTATATATTATACACATATAAAATAAGCCCAAGAAGGCATATTGCCCAGTGCAGTGTTGTACTGTATAGAAGATGCACAATATCGAAGATCACGTGGGTTTTACGTATAACCAGAAGTTCTTGATAAAGTACAGCATTGAACCCTAATCCTGTCAATGATCACCTGGACATATCTTTGCTTTTATGTGAAGCTTTGCTGATTTAAACAGGACTCCACCCAGAAAAACGGGTTCAGTTATACAGATCAGGCTGTGGGATGGAGTGTTCCGTTATATAGATCCAGCTGTAGGATGGGGCTTTGTACTGTCTATAGTTGGAAGTACCAACAATACAAAGAAATCAACAGAATAAAAGTTTATGTAAAGGTCTGTCTTTCTCCACCTCATGCTGAAGCAGCACAAAACAAATCCCTGGTATGACACTGGGGCTGTTGCTGTGCTGAAAGCTGGTGGCACAGCTTATTTTTCAGCTAGCCTAATTTCTGTACCTGAACTGTCACACATCACTTGCATAAATTCTGTGCATCCCTGACAAGTCTTTCCACTATAACTCCAATTATTTAATCTTCAATGAATTTATGAATTCTTGGAATGAGACTAGTGAATGTGAAGTCATTTTATTCCACTATCCTCCAATGAAGTTTAGTAACAGATACTTCTGGAATTCAGGGAACTTTGAATGTGGCAGGACAAATGGTTGGTGTAGCATATGCAAGTCCAGTGAAGCTACCTAGTTCTGTTAAATTATGCCAAGTCGGAATTTGGCATGAAAATCTATTACAAACTCAAATAGTCTTTTGTATACATACATCCAGTGCATCACTTATGAGAAACCAATACTGCTGCCGAAGATCATTTGGCACAGCTCAGGAAGAGAACACAAGTGGATTTTAGACACCTTTGTGCTTGAAGTTAGCAAGCCTTGTGCTTCAGTGCCATCTTCACAATATACACACAAATACTGTATATACGCTTAGACACATTTCTAACATTCACAGGCATCGGTTGGCAAATAAGACTTCCAATACTATGCATGTCAGCTAATGACACAACCCGATTCTTCAAGCTGGCTGCTCCCTGTACTCACAGAGACCCCAGAAAGACAGAGCAGGTTCAGCCTCAGTCACTTTTACTTTGCTTATGGTGCTGCTGAGAGCACCCGTTAGTACAGCAGAAAAATAATCATTAGGAAAAAAGACGTATAATGTATATTTTAAGAAGCCAATCTTAACCAGTATGCTTCTGTAATAAAGGATAGAGGTTTTTATATCAAATGTTAGTTGAAAAGAAAAAAATGCCTTGTCAACAATGCTACTCTACCGAGTTAATTTTTCTGATGCCTTTTTATCCATAGCTACCTATGCTCCAGTCAGTATTTGGCTTAATAATTACCTATTCCATCAACACTCACAGTGTGATTAGAAAGACTTTAAACTGTGTTTCATAGTTGAATCCTCCAAATTTTTCTTAACAAATGCTTTTTCAAAAATCATCTTGATAAATCATCACTCACTTAACAAGTTTCCTTTATAAATCTTTAGCTTTCATGTGAGCATGATTTCAAACACCAGATGAAACCAAATACTCTCTTTTATTATTTCTCAATGTTGGCTGCACAACCGTGATTGTCAGCCCCTTTTGTCCATCTCTTCTGCAATGCACCTTGCAAGGCAAAGGAATGAAGGGGAGAGTCATGAACCCATCTCCAATACACCAGCAAATCATAAAGTGTTTCCTACTTCATCTTGTCTTTTGTTTCAGTCTTTTACTTAAGGTCCTATTGAATTATCTGCACTGATTTTGATCTGATTTCTCCCATTCTACTTGCCTACATGCACTCTCTATCAAATTATATAAATAATGGCTATGTATCCTTCTCATTATGGACATATTAGGGATATTAGGGCTGAGTTTAAGTGGAGCTGGATAACCTTGCTAATCTGCTACCAACACTTATTTACAAACACTATACCCCAATATATTACCTCACAACTGTACCTTGAGAAGGTTATGTTTCATGGAATTGTATTTCAGAGCTAACCAGCTACATGCCCTGTGCTACAGTAGTGCTACGATTGTTTTCCTGAGATAATTTATTCTGAAATAATATGACGGACATATGGGATTCACTGTTACTCCTGGGTTTAAAGAAGGAGTTTAAAAGCCTTCTAGAATTCTGCATTCACAATACCTGTAAAACTAGCTGTGGTACAGTACAGGGTGATAAGGGATCAATCTGCTGGGTTAGTCTGCTGAAGCACGCAACTGTGTAATCAGTTTGGTTGTTCCTTCAGAAAATTTTACCTGTAGTCAAGCACTAATGATTTGGGAAGTTCTTAATGCCTCTGTCATTTTTGGAAGGTCAACTGATGACTCTAAAAAGCTGAAAATCTCTTTCTCTAGCAAATTTATGTCAGGTGGAGTTTCACAGGGACTACAGCCAGTTTTTTATCGTGCAAGTATAGCATTTCATTGCTCCACATAAGGAATTGGGGTATTTTTAGAACAGAACTCATAATCCTTAATGTAGCAGAGCGTAAAGGCTCATTAGGTGGCTCCCTTTGCTGTTTCTTCCTAATTTCAGAGACTGGGCATTTTAACAGCTCCTTTGAGCATAAGGCCATATTCCGTCTTGCTTCTCTGCTCAGTATTCCTTCCAGTACCCGTGGAAGTGCCAGACAAAAACTCAAGTAGGACCTTTTACCATATATACATTGACACTTCTTTCAAACATTTTAAAAAATCCATTTCTTTCAGCAAAGCCTTTGTTACTTGCGGCTGACTGGTTGTCTTCTGTGGTTGTAATGGATTTTTCTGAACTCCCTAATCGTTTTGTTTATGACTGAGAGAGTATGTAAAGTACTAAAAGTATTATAGAAGACACTATTGAAGGTTATTAATGGATACTGCTGATCCTTGATGCTGCTAAGTCATGTTAATGTCTAAGACAGAAAAAACTGTTAATGGAATTGTATTGTACTCCTACAACTACTTCATTATATTTTTAATGGAGCGCATATATAAAGGAATACACACTTCTCTACTCTGTAAGGGATATATGAAATACATTCAGAATACCTGACATTACACCATGTGTAGCTTTTTCTTCTTTGTCTGTTGTAACGTCTAGGATTTGCAGGTTTTTGTTTCTACTTGTTTTCCAATGAAAAAATATTCCAAAATGCACTCTTCCTACTTAGAAGAAAATTCAGTAAGGAAAAATCTCATTCTGTAAGATAACAAAACAAACAGAAATAGGGAAAACTGTATTAATGTCTTGGAGTGGCATTTTAATTATAACTTCTCTTAATTCTCTTATTTTTATTTTTTAACTTTATTTGAAGGGCTGATAACAGCCATTCAAAGTACACTTGAGAATGGGAAACAATTATTAGCATAGTTAATAATATGTGTGATATGCTTTGATATGTTCTAGTGGGAAGCTAAATGTCTAACAGCTGTATTTATGTATATGAGCATTACAATACATTGTGTTAGTGTTCAATGGAAAATAAAGAATATTTAAACCATAGAAGTAACAAACAGTCCCCAGACTGCTGATGAACTCTACTGATAATAGCACCAAGAGCAAGTGGAGAAGTCAGCCTGCCCAAATTGTCGCAACTAGGGACAGAATATAAGCCCACAGCAAGTCTCAAGAGCCTGGGAGTCTTCCCGTTCAAGCAAATATTTTCCTTAGCTTGAAACACATCACGTGCTCCTCCTCAGCGAGCACCCCTGAAACGCAGTCAGTCACCCAGTTCTTGCAACCTACAGCAAGGGGCTTGCAGCTTTAGTGCACTACATCCATGAGCTCAGTCTCGGGCAGTTTTTCCTTCCGACGTCTCCCTGTTGCATCAGTCTCCACAGGGGTGACATGAAGAGAGCAGTAAGCAGGCTGCTGCCCAGAGAAGGGGCCAGGGCACTGCCAGGGCAGGACAGAAGTTAGGCCAGGTTCAGAAGACGGAAAACGCAATTCAGCAGACGGAAAACGCAAGCACTCGGTGCGCTCGGTGGTTAATGCCCCCCCCATGGCCTAGCAGGCTCTCTCTCCGATGTGTTAATTCCTACTGCACACACTTGCATCCGCCCTTCATATGCCCGCCAGCCTTCTCCTCTCACACTTGCTCATCTGCAGCCCCGAGCGCGATGGTAAAGCTGTGATTTAGGCTGCTATTGATTAGAATGGCCAAACACGTTTTTGTGGTCGGGAACTTTGCAATAAATGCTGAGGTCTTGGGGAGTTTGATTCCTCAAGGCCGAGCTGCGGTACACTACCTGACTTACTGCTAATGGTAACTTTTCTTGTTACTGATGTCTCTGAATTCTAATGGCTGGTGTTACAGGCATGCCTCTGTTTATAGTTCACTTAAACGAAGTGCTCCGAGGCCAACCTGACCCTATTCCTATTCAGGAATTTTCTTGAAACATACTACAGCTACAAAGCCCTCCAGTGTGCTATACAAAAGTGGTGTTGTATTTGTGCTTTGCAACTTCGAATTTCTCCAATTAGTTATGCTAGTGTAATACTTCTGTCTTCAAATTTGTTACAGTAGAAAGCAATTTGCCCAAAAATATGCATATTTATATTCATATAATTGTTTATTTATTCTCCAAATAAACTGAAGTGGATGATGGCAATAATTATGTTACTGTTCCCAATCTCCCATTCATCAAATCAATTTCTGAATTTTCAAAAGTTGTTTTCAATTCAGCCTTACTTTACTTCCTACTGAATTATTTCAATTGAAAAAAGGACTTTCTGACCCATTCTCACTTCCTGTCTGAAGGCCTGGATAGTGACAGCAGTATGTTAGCAAGTTGTCAACCTGCCCAGATGGTGAATATCCAAGAATGCTGAAAGAGCTTCAGAATAAACAGGCTGATCTGCTAAGAATACACAGTCCTTCATTAAAAATCATTTATGTGCAGAAGAACTGGAAGTAACAAATAATCCTCTCTGTTTTTATAGA